CTCACAGAGTGAGTGTAAAATGGATGGTTTCACTTTCTCATCGGTGCTCTTGGTGCGGTGGCTGAAATCAGAAAGTTATTAAAAAAAACACTCTAAAGAAATTAGCGGGGTGGATAGTTCCTGTCCTGTTGTGAACAAATTATTAAGTGGATACAAACAGCTAAACAAGTTTGACATGGGAAACAGGGGCCTACTGGATGGTCCCTTGCCCTATTGCGAACAATGATTAAACGGTCTTTGACAGACAAACAGCTAATACATACATATCACGAAAGACAGACAAATCAAGGAAACAAATGGACAAAAGAAAAGAGACAGGTGGAAATCAAAAAAGAGATAACAAATCAGTCAGGTGCAAAGCCATGTCTGACTCCCACTTAGATGCCTTCCCAGCCACGTCCCCAAAGGGATGAAAACTCTATCTTGGCATAGGCAGAGAGGTATAAAGCCCACTCCAGGTTGCCCCAAGGGGCCTGCCACTAAGCCGAATGATAAAGTTGTGGAACTGTGGGTGGAAGTCCAGTAGGACGCCATAGCCTCAGGGCCACGAAATCATATCCACGCTCTTTCACTCACTCAGTCATACAGAACACACAAAACCCAGCCTATTAAGAGAAAACTGACAACTGTAACACATTCTTTTAACTTGCAATCCTGTTTAAACAGATGTTCTAAGCTTTTGAAGTTACTTTTTGTTTTTGTAAAAGGCTCAAAACTTTCAAAGTTACCAAGTTACCAAGTTTCCAAAAAAAAGGTTGACAACCTGAAGGCTGACTGACAACACAAATCTAAACCCAAACCTAAACCTTATGCGGCAAGGAGACATCTCCCCTCTGCCTCAGGAACAGACTTTAGCTGTATCCAGCCAAGTCTAATTCTCCACAAATTCTCTAGAGACCCAGACAGGACAGAACAAAACATAATAGACTTACCAAATTAGAAAATTTGGAAACCTGTGCCTTGAATCCACATGTCCGAGGGCACCGGGGTGGAGGAATGTCTCTCTAAGGCCTTCCCCTCGAGCCATCAGCCGGCGGTGGGCCCAGGTGGGAGTCCAATGGAATCTCGCTGGGGCCTCCAAATGTTGTAACCAGCTCAGCTGAGAAAGAGACTCGAATCCCACTTGATGCATAATTAAGTAGAAATTTATTACACCTGCACAGGGCACAGGGGACTACTGCTGTAGAAAGTAGTTGGTGCTGAATGGAAAGCCAGGTGGGCAAGTTACAGAAGCAAAACATTGCAGTTAGCTTAGGGTGGGGATAACATTAGCTCAGGGGTCACATTGGGGGGTTACATAGTTCAGGGCAGAGGTACATAAGTTGGGAAAGTTTCTGAGAACTTGGGACTTTTTACTGGGGGCCTTTCTTGGAATCCACCCCTCCCTTTATACTTCCCCAATTTCAGACTTCTCAGAATCTAGCCTCCTCACCCTTGACCCCTCAAGGACTAAAGGACTCAAGAGAAATTCTTTTTCAAGGGTTGGGGGCTTGTTTGCCACATTCCCCACTGGTCTTAGCAGAGAATCAAGGGGGCCTGATTATCAAATTTAGAGAAGACAAGTGAGGGAAATTGAAAACTGCCCTTTTATAGTCTACCATTACAATGAACGTTCTCAAACCTTGGCTGGCTCTGGGCTTGGGTAGATAATATAGCCATGTGACTTAAAGAAGGTCCATTAGCATCTCTGGTCCTCAGTAAGGAGCTTGAGGAAGGTGACATCTTTCTGCTATTTGTTGACAAACTTCCCATGTGGCTTACCATTGTGCTCGAAATTGCTGCATGAGAACTTATGTCTCCAACAGCCTTTGAGGTAATAAGAAGTCCCCTTGAACAGATGGCCCATAAAGGTAGGAACCTCTTGTAGGTAATTGCTGAGTATAACATTATTCCAGATATTGGGAAGACTTATGCCAGACCAGTTTTGACAGAGTGGCTGGTGGAGCTGCACACATTTAAGGGGCTTCAGTCTGCAGCAGGACAGAACCTGGAGGCAGGAGGGACTCTTCAGAGATACTGAAAAAGGGGGTTGGTATATAAGGCCTGGATATTCCTCGATTTCTCATCTGGACATAAATGGGACTTCCTACCCACATGTTTGTAGAACATGGGTCTTCTGTCTCAAAAAAAAAAAAATACCCGTTGGTTCTGCAAAGCCTTTACTTCTAAGTGGGTATCTTAGTTTGGGCTGCTATGGCAAATTACTATAGATGGGGACATTTATTCCTCATAGTTCTGGAGGCTGGAAGTCCAGGCCCAGGGTGTCATCATGGGTGAGATCTGGTGAAGACCCTCTTCCGGGATGCAGAATGCCAGCATTTCCTATATCATCCTGTTGCAGAAGAAGCTAGAGGGTGCTCTGGAGTCCTCCTTATAAGGGCACTAATCCCATTCAGGAGGCTCCATCCACATGACCTAATCACCTCTTAAAGCTCTCACACTGTGGTGTAGGATTTCAACATAGGAATTTTTTTTTGGTGGTGGGGGAGATGTAAACCATTCAGTCCACTGCAGTGGGTAAGAGTGGAGGGTGTGAAGGCTTGGGGGGGCATTTCTGTCTCTTTCTGGCAGGTTGGGGATCTTCCAGCAGAAAGCATGTAATGTTTGTTATTTCTTTCACCATATTGGAGTCAAAGATTCAACATTCAGTGAGGAGTATTCACTTCTAGAAATGGGGGGGAAATATCAGGTGAAGTGTGTGTTCACTGCTATCAGGTGCCTGAAAGAAATTCCCTTTCTCTGTAGGAACCCTCCTAAGTAGCTTAAATTTTGCCTGAGTTTCTGTGAACACTTGTTGATAACACTGATTGCTTTTATCAGTATGCTGCTCATCCAGGAAATGTCTTCAGGTTAAGCTGCAATCAGTCAAATCTTTTTTTTTTTTTGAGACAGAGCCTCAAGCTGTCCCCCTGGGCAGAGTGCCGTGGCATTACAGCTCACAGCAACCTCCATCTCCTGGGCTCAAGCGAGTCTCCTGCCTCCGCCTCCCAAGCAGCTGGGACCACAGGCGCCCGCCACAACGCCCGGCCATTTTTTGGTTGCAGCCGTCATTGTTGTTTGGCGGGTCCGGGCTGGGGACTCGAACCCACCACCTTAGGTGTACGTGGCTGGCGCCCTAGCCGGTTGAGCTATAGGCGCCGAGCCTCAAATCTTATTTTTAAAGATGAAGCTTTAGAGCAATTTTTAAAGTAAATAAAAATGCAAGGGCTAATACAAGGCAGTGGTTTTCATACTGGTTCCCTGGAACCCTAGGGTTCCCCTGTAATGCCTTCTTGGTGGCTGTGAAGACAGAGGAGGAAGGAGGAAGAGTGAGGGCTTAGGTCCCTCACCCTTAGGGAAAAATTAAAACAGCTGCATTTATTTATTATATACATTGGGGCTCCTTCTATCATTTTAATTAAAAAATAAAAAATAATTTTGTTGCTTTAGCAAAATTTTAAAGCCCCTAGTCTAAGGTATCATTTTTTCTTATGAGATGCTTCTAAATTTAATCTTACAATTAGAATGAATATTATTTGATGTTTTGAATGATAGACTGTAAGAACAGAAAAGATGATTAGCAACAACCCTCAAATAAAAAATTTAAGGCAAGTATAATTGTTTACATCAGCTGTCAAATCCAAGCAGTTAACCCAAACAGTTTCCATTTATTTATTTATTTATTATTATTACTATTATTTTTTGAGACAGAGTCTCACTTGGTCACCCTTGGTAGAGTGCTACGGTGTCATAGCTCACAGCAACCTCTTCGGCTCAAGCAATCCTCTTGCCTCACCCTCCCAAGTAGCTGGGATTACAGGTGCCTGCTATAATGCCTAGATATTTTTAGAGACAAGGTCTTACTCTGGCTCAGGCTGGTCTTGAACCTGTGAGCTCTGGCAATCCACCTGCCTTGGTCTCCTAGGGTGCTAGGATTATAGGTGTGAGCCACTGTCCCTGGCCCTGTTTCTATTTCTTTAATTCATTCTTCCATCCCAAGCCTGATTCCTGTGTTAGACAGCTTGTACACTGTTTTGTACAGGCTCATTTTAAAGTTCCTTTTCCTTGCCCTTGAATTCCTTGGCGGACCCATACACTATAGGGACCCAATCTCAGGATGCTTAGCCTAACCCTGAGGATGTTTCTCGCCAGCCCGGGTACCCTGGTCTTCTGCAGCTTGAGTTGTGTCTGTTTCCTGCCTGGCTTCATGTTTCTACACCTTTCCCTCAGAACACTGCCCAGCCCCATCTGCCCTGCTGACCCCAGAAGGAAAGGCACCTCTTTGAGTCATTGGGAAAGAACCATCCTTGGTCATTAGATTTTTGATTTTTTTAAAAAAATTCTGCCTGAAAGAAATTTCCCCCTTGACTTTCATTTTAGTTTCCCCCTTTCCTTTCTCTACTAACAGGCCCTTGATATTACTGACTGTCTTGCTTCCAAAAGCAGAAGGCTTTGATGTTGCACAATCTTGCATGGAGTTTATAAGAAAGCATGACAGAGCATAGGTTCGGAGTCAAGAATACTGGCCTGTGTAACTCTGGGTGGGTTGTTCACATCATCATAGAAAAAAAGGGGAGCAGTGATAGAAGTCTTTACTTCTTTTTTTTTTTTTTTTTTGAGACAGAGCCTCAAGCTGTCCCCCTGGGTAGAGTGCCGTGGCATTACAGCTCACAGCAACCTCCAACTCCTGGGCTCAAGCGAGTCTCCTGCCTCCGCCTCCCAAGTAGCTGGGACCACAGGCGCCCGCCACAACGCCCGGCTATTTTTTTTTTTGATTGCAGCCATCATTGTTGTTTTGGCGGGTCCGGGCTGGGGATTCGAACCCGCCACCTTAGGTGGACATGGCTGGCGCCTTAGCCAGTTGAGCTATAGGCGCCAAGCCAGAAGTCTTTACTTCTTAGGATTATTTTGAGGATTTAATCAGAGACAGTCTCAGAAGTGTTGTCGAGTATGCTGCCAAAATAGCACCCCGGCAGCCCTTGTCCACACTGGCAGGTGGTTGTTCCCTGTTCTCTCCTCAGGTACCGCAAGCTCCCTGACCACCATGCCCCCGCCCTTTCCCAAGACTGTCTGAATGCCTCCATCCACTTCCTGAGGTGCCTGGACACCTATGGAGTGGACCCTTCCCGGGTCGTGCTCTGTGGAGAAAGCATTGGAGGAGGGGCTGTGGTCTACATCGCCCAGACCCTGGTGGGCAGATCAGATCTTCCCAGCATTCGGGCTCAGGTTCTGATTAACCTGTGTGTCCAGGCCATTAATTTGTGCTTACCATCCTCTGAGCAGTACTGGTGCGTCCCATTCCTCAGCCAGGATTTCGTAGTGACTTCCATCTGCAAGTACATGGCCATTGACATCTCCTGGAAGGAGGCCATCCTGACGGGAGCATTTATGCCCCCAGACACCTGGAGGAAGTACAGGAAGTGGCTCAGTGCTGACAACATCCCCAAGAGATTCCAAGGCAGAGGCCCCCCACCCAGGTTTCCTGCCCCCTATAATGAGGCTGCCTATCTAGAAACCAAACATCTATTCGATAGAGAATATTCACCCTTCCTGGCAGATGACGAGACCATGGCTCAGCTTCCTGAGGTCTTCCTGGTGAGCTGTGAGAATGACATGCTCCGGGATGACAGCTTGCTCTATAAGAAACGCTTGGAGGACCTGGGGGTCCGTGTGACATGGTACCACGTGGAGGATGGCTTTCACGGATCCCTTATCTTATTTGATAAGAAGTTTTTCTCTTTCCCATGCTCTGTGAAAATTGTGAATGCTGTAGTCGATTATATAAAGGGTATCTGATAGTTATCCCAGACCCTGAGTAGGGGATGCCAAGTATGGACTCTGGCACAGGCTGGGTACTTTGGTGAGTTCTGTTTCACTGATTAAAGACATGCTTAATCAATGGTTGGCTTGGCTGGGAAGGATGAGAAGTAAGCTAAGAACAATCTTGCTTAATATTCCAGAAAATCCAAACTATGTCTGTTTTCTTCCACTACTAACAATGTTCAATTCTGGATCCAGCAATATCCTCTAACATGCGTACTTGAGTGAAAGAAAGGGCGTTGAAGGGTGAAAAAAAATGTCTTTAAAAATTTCTCAGAGCTAGGTTAGGCATGGTGGCTCACGCTTGTAATCCCAGTACTCTGGGAACTGTGATACCACAGCACTCTACCCAGGGCGACAGCTTGAGACTCTGTTGCAAGAAAACAACAAAAAAACCTTTACAACAACAACAACAACAAAATCCTAGTATTCTGGGAGGTCAAGGTGGGTGGATCTCCAGAGCTCAGGAGTTTGAGACCAGCCTGAGTAAGAATGAGACCCCCTTGTCTATTGAAAATAGAAAAATAGCCAGGTGTTGTGTGGCAAGGCGCCTATAGTCCCAGCTACTTGGGAGGCTGAGGCAAGAGAATCTCTTGAGCCCAAGAGTTTGAGGTTGCTGTGAGGGATGATGCCATGGCACTCTACCTCAGGGTGAGAGAGTGAGATTCTATTCAAGAAATAAAAAAATTCTTGACACCCTAACATTTAAGTTCTGTGCAAAACAAATGCCAGCAACTCCTCACACTGTCAATGGTTTCTCTTTACCCATGATGAGAAAGCAGTGCTGGGGGTCATGGCCCCTGCTAGAGGATTGAGGCGCTCACTTATCCCTGGCATCAAAGGTCACTGGTCACATTTCCAACTTCGATTGACTCCAGGTGGCCTGCAAAATGCTGTTGCAATGAACCTCTAGTCTCAACCCAGCCACCCTTGGGCTGGACTAAAGGAAGACCTCAGAGGAGATTGTGAGAAAGAGAGACAGGGAGGCAAGAGACAAGGAAGGGAAGAGAAGGGCATGCTCTGGGGAGCCATGAGCTTTGCCTGGGCTCAAGTCTTTAATCTGAATTCCTAAAGTAGGTCACTGGCTTCCAAGAGGTGGGTTCTTCAGGTCAGGGATGTCTTAGAAACCTCCAGGTATCATCTGGGATATGGAAGCTGCATTCTCTGAGGGAGTAAGGTGCTAGCTTCCTTCTTTTGATTAGTTTCTGTATTATTCACATTTTTACAAAGAACTTTGCCGTTGCTTGGCTAGTGCCACTGTCTCTGCTCACACTGAAGGGAAGATCTTTGTGCTGCATGTTGGGTATGGCTCTCATTCATTTTTGCATTGAGCTCATGTTCGCTGGATACACCTGTGGTAGCTCTGTGCTTTTTGATGCTGTCTAGTCTCACCCAAGGGCAGAAGCTGGACGCTCTCCCTTCTAGGCAACCACAGGTTCTCTGGGTACCAATAACCTCACCTACAACTAATGGAGGAGGGAGTCCTCTCGATGCCTTAGGTCTTTGCAAAGAGACTGGGTATCCACACAGGCAGTTTAAACTGGGGTTCTGGGGGCATGAGCAGATGTTGTGACTTGTGGATCATAAGCTTTGAGGGAAAGGTGTGCTAATTGATGTGTAGCAACATCACCACAAACAGAATAGCTTGAAACTATAAGTCTGGTTACTGCTTAGCTGGGTTCTCTTATGGACCCTAATGGTCTCCAGGGCTATAGTCAAGGTGTTGGGGCTGTAGTCTTATCAGGGGCTCAACTGGGGAAAGATCTACTCCCAAGCTCAGCCAACTTTTTGGCTTAGTTCAGTTCCTTATGGTTATAGACTGAGAACTTCAGTTTCTTTCTTTTTCTTTTTTTAAAAAACAAATTCTCACTTTATTGCCCTTGGTAGAGTGCTGTGGTATCATAGCTCACAGCAACCTCAAACTCTTGGGCTCGGGAGGGTGGAGGGAGGGGGGAGAGGGTAGAGGGAGAGGGATTCGAGGGTTCACTTCTGTGGTTCATCTTGCAAGGGTACAAGTGAATCTTTCTATGAGTAGAATATGAATGTTTTGACATAATAACTAAGAAAGTTACATGAAGGCTATGTTAACCAGTTTGATGGAAATGTCATGGATTGTGTGAAAACACCACACTGTACCCCCAAAGTGCATCAATGTACACAGTTACCATTCAATAAAAAAAAAAAAATCTTGGGCTCAAGAGACCCTCTTGCCTTAGCCTTCCAAGTACCTGGGACTATAGGTGCCCGCCACAACTCCTGGCGATTTTTAGAGATAGGGTCTCACTCTTGCTCAGGTTGATCTTAAACTGCTGAGCTCAAGCAATCCACCTGCCTCTGCCTTCCAGAGTGCTAGGATTATAGGCATGAGCCACCGTGCTTAGCCTAGGACTTTAGTTTCTTGCAAGCTGTTGGTCAGAGGCCAGCCTTGGCTTCTAGAGGTCACTCCCAGTGTCTTGATATGTGAAACTCCCCAAATGTATGTTTGTTTCCTTGAAACCAGGAGGGGAGAGCCAAGACTCCAGCAAGGGGGCCTCTAGAATGTCATGTAATGTGATCACGAACACATACTCACATACATGCCATCACCTTTGCCATATGCTATTGGCTAGAAGCAAGTCACAGGCCTTGTTCACATAAGGTGGTCACACAAGGGTGTGGACACCAAGGGGTGGAGATCATAGGGCTCCCTCAAGTCTGTCCTTCACAGAAGGCCTCACCAGAGGTGCTGTGAAAAACAGTCTCCCCAACTTCTCAGCCTAAAAAACACAAGATGGTCTGCAACTATTGGCTTGACCTGCAGCTAGTAACCGATGGTCCTCCTGAAAGAGTTTCCTCATCTCTCCCCAGTTCTAGTTCTCCTTTCTCCCACCCACATCAATCCCATGTGGTCTCTGCATGGTGGAGTAGTCTGGACCCTCCTCTGGTTTCTTCCTAGCCTACTCTTCTGACCTCATATTAGTCAGGGTCCAATCAGGGAAAAGAAAAGTACACCTAGGGCCGGTGCGGCAGCTCACACCCATAACCCCGCACTCTGGGAAGCTGAGGTGGTATATTGCCTGAACTCGGGAGTTGAAGACCAGCTTCCGCAAGAGGAAGATCCCATTTGGGCACCTGTAATCCAAGCTACTTGGGAGGCTGAGGCAAGAAGATCTCTTGAACCCAAGAGTTTGAGGTTGCTGTGAGCTGTGACTCCACGGCACTCTACCTGTGGTGACAGAGTGAGACTCTGTCTCAAAGGAAGAAGAAAGCCACAGTGGTGGTTTCTTCTTTTTTTCTCTTGAAAGTCTATATCGGTGTCTAAGTGCAATCAACTCTTCCTAAGACATTTTCTGCTTCCAAGGATCTAGCTAAAACATATATCCTGAGACTCTTAAGAAATTGTTTGCGGCTCGATGCCTGTGACTCAAGCGGCTAAGGCGCCAGCCACATACACCTAAGGTGGTGGGTTCGAATCCCCAGCCTGGACCCACCAAAACAACAATTACGGCCGCAACCAAAAAATGGCCAGGCGTTGTGGCGAGTGCCTGTAGTCCCAGCTGCTTGGGAGGCTGAGGCAGGAGACTCGCTTGAGCCCAGGAGTTGGAGGTTGCTGTGAGCGTGATGCCATGGCACTCTACCCAGGGGGATAGCTTGAGGCTCCGTCTCAAAAAAAAAAAAAAAAAAGAAATTGTTTACACTAATCCTGAGGGGCAACAATGCTACTGTGGCTTCCCCACTCAAACCCCACTTACCATGGTCAGGTGACAGATGACACCATGCCACTGACTTGGCAGGTGCCTTGAGCCAAACTAGTCCACAGAAACTTGTTTGTCATATCCTTAGTGCCTGATGTCTATTGAAATAGACATACTCAGAAACTGGCAGGATTCCACACTGACTCCTTGAGCAAAGAGAGGAGGGTCACTGTGGTAGGGGGTCCTATGTGAACCTTCCCACTTCTTCTTTTTTTTTTTTTTTGAAACAGAGTCTTACTTTGTCACCCTCAGTAGAGTGCTGTGGCATCATAGCTCACAGCAACCTCCAATTCTTGGGCTTAAGTGATTCTCTTGCCTCAGCTTCCTAAATATCTGGGACTACATGCACCTGCCACAATGCCTGGTTATTTTTTGTTGCAATTTGGCTGGTGCTGGGTTTGAACCCACCACCCTTGGTATATGGGGCTTGCACCCTACTCACTGAGCTACAGGCACCACTCTGGACCTTCCCCTTTCTACCAAGATAGGAAGTCAGGAGAGTGCTGCATCCTCCAGGGGACTGCAGAAATTCCTGCCGCCTTGAAAGATGTGAAGGAAGCACCTACTGCACCCTGATTTAAGTCAGCAGTTTGAAATATGCAGAAGTCAGACAAATCTTGGAAAATTACTGTGAATAATCCTGAAATTGTTCCTGCAGTGACTCCAACTGCAGCTGTCTTTCCAGTTGTAGTATCACTATTGGAGCAAGTAGACACAGCTCCTGGAGCTTGGTAAGCAGCCACTGACCTGGCAGAACTTTTTTTTTTTTTTTTTTTTTTTTTTACAAATTCTTACCAATTTGTAAGAAATTCCAAAAGCCAACTCCCTTTACCTGGCAGGGTCAGCAGTATACTTCTGTAGTCTTACCTCAGGGCTATGTCAATTCTGTTTTCAGAGATCATGATCAAGACATTCTTCCAAACATCACACTTGTCCACTGCATTGAAGACATGTCAGTGGGATCATATGAGCAGAAACTAGCCAGTAATTTAGACTCTTTATTAGTCATGGTCTGTGGGGGTCAGGCTTGTAGTGTCGTTTGGGTCAGGCATTTCTGGAGGTCTTGTTGACTGCAATAGCCTGGTGTCTACACAGGATGTCTGACACCCGGCAGCCTCAGTGCTAGAATTCTGGGGGTCCTATTGACCACAGTCCAGGATCTTGGTTACCCCTTTCAGGTGCCCCAAGTGGCACAATTGTTACCTGGTGGCTGAGAACAGAATGCCTAGCAACCAAAGATTA